TCGTTATTAAAACTAAAACAATTTTTATGAAGTTTGAATTCGAAGGCCTGTGTTATAATTAATTTTACGAAATCACTTGCCACTTTTCCATTACAGGATCCCATAGAACATCACAATATTAACAAAATATAATTTACGAAAGTTTCTCTGATAAGTTGTACTGTATTATTTTATTATACTAAAGTCTTATGTCTTTTTTCAGTTGTCAAAATTATCTTATCACAAATGAACAGCATCGATATAAACTTTTGTTTTCTATATTTTACATAGGAACGCAATTCGTAATAAGAATATTTTACTTTTATTTTAATTAGACAGTTTAATTCTGAACGTATTCATTATATAGCTTAATCAATGTTTTCTAGATGTGCTACGCAATATCTGTGTCTTATAGTACGCAGAATATTCGATGTGCTTATTAAGTTTTTCTTTATATATATATGAACGTTTGTATAGTATTTATTTTTTACTATTATGATTAATGCTAATAATTTTTACTGTATCTCGCGTTGTACCATTTCTAACTGTTTTATTAAATAGCTGTGAGTAATTAGGGCTGTAATTCACCGCACAAAGGATGCCGCCTCGGTGGGGGGTCGCCAAATGAGTGGAGATCAAAGGATGCCATTTGATGGTTATATAAAAATTACATAATATGCCGCCACCTGGGGGTTACGCAACTATTATGTAGTAAACAAAAGATGGCTACACCAGACGGTTACATAACTATTAAGTAATATGCAAATTATCACGACAACTCAAGGTTGCATAAGTGTTCACAAAGTGGAGCCAGAGGGCGCGTTTGCTTTGCCGCCATAACAGGTGGACAACACATTCACAATGTGTATCAACATGTCTCAACATGACTAGATTTAATACAGTTAATATAAAACACTGATTCATTAGTTCTATATTTAGTCATACTTCTTGACCATTTGTATGTAAATCATCTAGAATAATATATGCTTATTTAAATGTCACGCAATAACTACAATTTACTGTTTCACTAGTTTACTTTATACTAGCCATATAACTTGACAAAATATTTCGTTCTATCACATGCTACTTTATAGTTTTATCTTACACGGGTTTTGCAAGGGTGGACACTATACTTCCACATACGATTACGTCACCAACGTCTGGATTTAATTATGTTAACATTACTGTCCTCAGGATTTCTAGAAATCTATTGTTATCCATTATTTGAAGAAGTCACAACTTACATTTTTGTTTTCAGTTTTATATATATATATATATTTGTATTACACGTATTTTACAAAGGTAGGCAATGCTACTAAGGATTGTATACAGATTTCAATGTACATTTAACAAAGATGTTTCTATATACTTCCATAAGACAGTATGCAGCATATAGACATTCTTTTCATTTCCATCTGTGGATCATTAATGCCATTTCACCCTGACTCATTGTGACATGTTCAGCCTAAGTTCAATCAGTCCATCTAACTTCAAAACACATGAGCTATACAAATATAATGCATGTTTTACGAACTTTAATTTTAACATCTAGTCAATAAACTCTGTGCTAAATCATTTTACTAGATAATAAATGTGACTAATCACTGTTATAGACTAGTAACACTTGCTTTTTTTTCATAAATCTTTGAGAACTGAACTTTCTTCTACACTACAGATGTAATTTACCTCACATACATGTTCAAAACCACGTGTAAAGTGGGTTATACAAAGTTGAATGTAAGTGTGTTCTTTCTAACTGACGCCATTAACATTGAAAGCATACAATCACCAAATAACACTTCACCCTTATAGACTCACTGCTAACAGTATTTCGATTTTTTACTAAGAATAGAGGAGCTGATAGAATTCAGATTTCGGTTTGGTCATTAAAGTTGTTGATATTCAGTCTCTGGTTATCCATCCATTCCCTTGAAGTTCGTAAAACATTGAGACTGTCTAACGTTAAGACACTATTATTTAAGAGATCATCACGTAGTCACATGGGAAAGGTAGAGAGAGAAAAAAAGATATAGAAAGAGGAGAAAGGTCGTTGACATACATGACAAAGGTCAATTCTGAGTTGGCCAAATTATATTTCGCAATACACAGTCAAATCTGTGTGGCTCGTCCATATATAAATGGCTGTAAAACATTGTCAATATCTATGTATTTACATTATATCTAATATTGAAAATAAAGGGTTCAAAAGTTTACGTAATCATATATAAAAACATATGCATTTGTCGCAGATACTGGACGATACTTATCGTCCAGTACCCGAGCTCGTAATGTAGGCTGGAAATGTGTCACAGTATTGGTCAAAACGCTGTATCAGTTATTAATGTTACATCATTTATCAATGTATTTAACTTTAGATGCGATATTTCCAGCCGACTCACGAACTTGAGTACTGGTGACAGGTCTTCTCTGGCATGTGTGACAGTCTTATATGTTTCTAAATAACTTACGAAAGTCATCGTACATTTAGCATAGATTGAATACAAGTTTTTTGTAGGCCTGTACGAGAGGAAACTCCGATTATCTCGGTGTTTGTCTGCAATTTTTATCTGGCATGAGACTTCGAGACTGTCGGCAAACACCGAGTCTGTAAAAGTTTTCTTTAAACCGACAGAAATAACACTGCAGTGACAATATGTCCAGCATTATACACCTATTTACTGTCAAAAGAATGATTTTTATCAATGGTCACATTAAAAGTGTATAACATTCTCTCATATCTCTGAACTTATGTAACAGTAACCGTATGATAATGTGTGACGACTTTAACTTATTCCTGTTACTACAGTAAACTTTGCTAAATTTTCATAAATTTTATGTCAGCTTTGTTTACGTTTAAGACGTAAAAACTAAAATTCTATTATATCTAAATAATTACGCTTTGAAGATGTTAGACTATGTATAGATCTTGGTGAGTTATATTTATAAACAGTGGAAGATTTAAACAACAAATATGTGATCACTAGATCAAAAACAGAAAGTATCAATCTATAAACAAAAAATGATAATAATATCCTAGTGTATCATCAAATATTGATAATTTCATAAATTTACATTTAGCTTTCTGTATAGTTATGTAAAATAAAGACTAGAGATAAATCTAATCACAAATGTAAATGGTTTATATGAGAATTTATAAACTGATTTCATGTAAGGGATACATGTGTAGATCATACCTTTTGTCATGAGACACAAAACTTAGAAGTATGTAGGAGGTATAACAAGAATTGTACACAAACGTAAATGACCATGCTTTTATGAAAGCTAATTTAAGCATGGTGATCCATACGTATTGCAGTTTATGTTATTTGTAAATATCAAAGGTTATTATTTTGTCAGCTTGTCAGATAAAATTAACCCTTGAATAAAATTGAAGAACATAGTTCAAACTATAAGATGAATGTTACTGTTATTTCTTTACGTGTCTAAATGATTACACTTACGAGAAGTTAGACTATGTATAAATCATTGTGAGTTATATTTGTAAAGTTATATTTAAATGACAAATATGTGAGTTCTAGATCAAAAGTAGTAACCAGAAGCAGAAAATAATTTCCTAATGTACTAGCAAATATTGAGCACTTCATGAATATACATTTACTTTTTTATATTGTTATGTAAAGTGCCCGATTATATAATTTTGTTTTGCTGACTGTTAAGTTCAGTGACATACAAAACCCGTTCTTCATTGTGAGAGTTAATGAATAGTGGACGTACAGTTTGTTTTGCTTGCAAAGATTATTCTGTAATGATGGATTTATAAAATGTGAAATAAAAGATATATATTTTCTTGTCCTTTATCGTAAGAAACTTGAAAGAGACGTAAATATAATTTCTGGTTTGTCTGTCATTTTTATAGATACTAACGCATTACTTAGTCATGTGACTAATGACCAAAGGTGAAAGCACTAGTCACAGTGTTTTATCTTTAGGCATTACTTCTTAGAGAGTCCTTCGACCTGGATTCTATATGTGTATAAAATAATAAATAAACATACCGACAGACATTGGTTACGACTATATGCTTTGTGGTGAATATTTTCAAATCATGTGGGCATTATCTCCGTACAAATTATTTTGGTGAGTGTCCTTTTTATTTTGTTTATAGAGATTTGTTTTATTTCCACAGTCATTGATTAAACATCTAAATATTCCCCAATGTTTGAGCGTGTGCGATACTTTACAAGTCTTTACTTACATACAAGTGGTAATGTGAGGGCCAAGATCTAATGTTCAGCACGACCGGGAACTGTCAGTTTAATTACGGATTTCAAGCGCATGATATGTTTTGTATAGTTTCTAAAAAAAAGAAACTTTGATTACTTTGTAGAATGCTCCTTAAGTTTCATTTATGATAATTTATTCTATTTGACTAATAATATGCTAGAACGAGTATTAACCACAGGTATTATTACATTGGGCTGTAAGTCAGTGTAAAAATGTTGTATTTCTAAAATGTGAAAGATAGTATTTTTTATCGTAAGAAATAACAATTGAAATAATTTGTCAAGAACATTTTTATTGTTATCACAGTTATTTTACAGATTTTTTTGTTCTTAAAATCTCCAAAGGTAGGATATTTGCACATTATACTAATAAATCTTGGATAAAGTCGTCTTTATCTATAGCATCCCAGAAAGTTGCATTGATAGAACCTGATAAATTTAACTGCGTTACTCTTTGATTAAATATAAATTGAACAATAAATTCATTCACTCTCTTCAATGCTGATCTCAAATACAGATATACACATTCATCATGATTTAACAAAACATGCCGCCAAAACACGCTCTAAACTTGGAGACTATAAACGTGACGGTGAAATTCCACTATTCTGTCTTATAAGTATAGCCCAAGAGTTGGCGGTGGGTGCTATTGCCTTCCTTCTAGTCGGTCAGTAAAAAATTAGGGACAGATAGCGCTTACATAGCTTTGTGTAAACACGTTTAGCACTAAATACGAACTGTTTCTCTGATGTAGAGAGTGTATTGGTTTAATCTAAAATGGTAGGAGACAGAGTCTTAAACCTGGTAATGACTAAGGTAAACTATATTTTATGAAAATCTAGGCTTAAGTTTATGGGGCTACTTTAAAGAATACTCTGAAAATATACATTTTTCTTGATATAATATGCTTTGACACAGATAAAGAGGAAATAATATTAATAAGTGGCCTCGGCCAGTTGCGTTGTCTTATCATTTAACCAAACATACGATTATAGATTAATAATCAACTTTAACTATGCTCAGTAATTAGACGCCATGAACATTTTATTGTGATACCTTCGTTATATAGGATTGTTGACTGAGTGTTTACGACGATACTACTGATAACCTCTCCCCGCCCCTCTAGTCATGCTTACGTTCTTTTCTCAGACATACAGACACTTGAAGCTGTAGTCGATAGTCAGATTCAACTACCATGTAACATCAGTCTTCCTTCTGAAGATGACTTCATATCCTTGGTACTGTGGTACAAGTCAGGAATCAGTGCTCCAATTTTCAGTGTAGACTCTAGATATGGTGCACTGGAGAACTCCAAACACTTTACCAGCAACTTCCTGGGACAAAGAGCTTACTTGTATTTTAACTTGGACATTGATTTGGCTTTTCTGACCATCAAATCTGTTGAAGATGGAGATGAAGGAAAGTACAGTTGCAGAGTCGATTTTCGATGGGGAAGAACTCTCAAAAGCGCAATAAATGTAGATGTTATTGGTACGTAAGTTATTTTGAACTACGATTCATGTTATTAGTAAACATTCAAGCCTTTGGTAAATTAAGATGAATTTTGAAAATTAGTAAACAGGTAGGTTTAAAAATATCATTATAAAAAAATTAACATACATATTCCATATACTAACCGAACAGGATAAATTATAAGATAGAATCTATGATTGACTATATTACAACAAAAAAGATAAACATTTTACAAACTTTTTCAGATTTTACTCAGTATAGATAAGCTGAAAGTATAATGACAGAATTTCACTAAGGAAACACACGAGTGTAAGGTTAAAAGTAAGCTCATGCAGCAAGCCGAAAACGAGTTGATCAATAACCTTTGTAATTTCAGTTTAAAAATGGTCATTGCAATATTGTTTATATGAAAAAAAACGAATGTGTTAGGCATAACACTTAGCTCTTAGCGCTGGAATACTATTCGTAAGATTTCTCCATGAAAGGTTATTACAAATACACAAAGGATTTGTTTAATCTTCCCAATTGTAAATAAACGAAGTACGAAAACTCATACGTTAGTTTTATTTGTTTTTAAAAAACCTAGTCACACTTTTCTCTCTTGTTTTCTAAATACTTCCCACATTTCAGAAATGCATATGAATATTCAAAGCAATCAGCTGTATTTCAGATCCAATAAAACATCATGCTGTATACAAAAATGTTATAATAAACCACATAGGTTTCTTTTCTCAATTGTTGTGGCTAATTAACAAAACTGGACAAATTAGTTTTCTTATAATAGACATATTTCTATTTTAGTAAAATTCGTTAAAGAATACTCTAACTGGGAATGAAAGAAAGTATCTTTTTTCTTCTGTTATTTACGTACCATATTTTCAAAAAGTACCGATTTTTCAATCTCAAAATAAGTCGTTTGCTAACTTACTCCATTCTCTGATAAGTTGAGGTCGTCCATTTTGTTCAGTACTTAGACATACTAGGCGTGGCAGGAAGCAATGTCTTTTACGGTTAGTTGTCGTCTGTCCTAACCTCAGTTGCATGTTAAACACTAAACCTTATCTTTCTGGTGCTTAAAAAGAGAAAAAAGATCACATTAAATGCTTTTATGTACTAATCACGTGCTGTATACGTTGATAAATAATCTTAAGTTTGATATTCCTGATTACATTTTACATTATTTACACTGATTAAAAGAGTAGCTCGTCCCGTAAACGAGGGGTGGACAGTTCTTTTATAGGGCACCAAACACAATCTATTTAAATGTATTTGTATTTTGAAGCTATTTTCGAAAAGGTGCAGAGCCAAAACCTTGCGTTGATGTTTATGTATATATTAACTTAAATGTAGTTTGCGTTTTGATTGCATGTTAGGTTCTTCAGTTTGCATGAGAGCACGTGTCAGTTAATGTCCCAACACCATATTTCTTTCAATTAACTGAAAACTGAATAAAGTTTGCCAGCTTCTATCTTTCTACATCCTGTTCACCGTTTGTTGTAGTGTTGCAGACAGTTTAATTCTAACATATACTAAGCACTGTTATCCTTACTGCAAGCCTTTGCTCTAGAATTAACGATAGGGTCTATATGGACCACTTCTGATTTTTATGCACATTTATTCTCAACTATTTATGCATCGGAGTGTTTGTTGGTTACAGGATATTGGGTAACATACGAGTCACCAGAAAAATAAAACAAAATACATTTGCTATTGCAATGACCTTTTTCTAACTAATGGCATTAATTTCCAAGTATTTTGCATAAAAAATTAACGATTTCATCCATTTTTTACAACTTATTTACACTGGGTGCTGTGGCAGAGAAAAAAACATATAATTACTCAGTATGATGCGGTATGCAGAATATAAATAATAAGAAACAAATTGATAATTTGAGAGTTAATCTCTTCTACACATGTTTTGGCCAAAATTTCAAAATACAAGAAACTATTCAGTCGAATGAAGTTACGTTTTAGAGTTGTTAGACTTTCTTGTTATCATTGAGAGTTATATTAAGGCTCCGAGAAAAATATATTACAGTGAAATATTTCAAACAGATCACTACTTTCTAGACGTGGAAGCCAATCTGATCAACCATTAGTAAGGCATAGCTAAATTGTTTTTGTTATAGATGAACCATTTTGTAATACTTGTTTTAATATCTATTTTGCAAGTTCCCCCTAGAAGTGTTCTCATTACTAATGAGAAAAACGAGCTCTTGTACGGACAGATTGGCCCTTATGACGAAGGTTCTTCACTCATTCTTCGTTGTGTGGCAAAAGAAGGTGAGCGTTTTAATTATTTTACTGAAAAGATTAGTCTCAAAAGTAACCCGAAATAGGGTTGCTAACTATGTTGTACTTGGTAACATAATATCGTTTTTTTTCAACATGCTAAAATCCAAGATGAATAATCTTTAAAAATAGTTTCTTTAGTTTTAGTTAGTTTTTTTTTTCCAGATTTCCTCACGTTGCTCTTTCTGGTAGAATATATCTATGTAACATTTATAGCCACGTAATAATTAAAACTAAACCATATAGATTCCTTAGAAAGTTGTAATAAAAAGTTTCGGATAGTGTATTACTTATTAAAATATTAATAATTTAAAGTTGGCGATATAATATATGTTTATACAGAGTTATTATAATTCAAGATGATTGTCTTAGTTTATTTGTTTGCCTTGGTTTTGAATTTCGCACAAAGCTACTCGAGAGTTATCTGCGCTAGCCGTTCCTAGTTTAGCAGTGGTAAACTAGACTAGAGGGAAGATAGCTAGTCAACACCATCTACCGCCAAATCTTGGGCTACTCCTTTAACAACAAATAGTGGGATTAAACACTACTTTATAACGCTCTAACGGCTGAAAGGGCGAGCATGTTCGGAGACGGGGATTCGAATCCTCAAATTACGCGTGGAGCTCACCAACCACCAAGCCATAACAGGCAAATTATGTCTTAAAAACTGCTTATTCTAGGAGATGAAGAGGCAAAATGTCACCAGATGCACATTGAGTATCATATGTTTTACTCAAGGAAGTTTGGACATGAAACATGGTGGTTCCAAAACTGTCAGAGAAGATGTTCAATATGCGTTATATCATTCTCCATGAGAACATCAAGCATATTCCTGAGTAAAGATTTTGTAACGATCATTTGTTTTGAAGTGTTCACTGATTCTAGCTAGCATCCTGCACACTAACTTGGATTTTATTCAGACCATCAATATCGTATTGTTAAAACCTCAGTAGGTTTGCTAGGTTACAGTAAACAAACTGTTATTTGAAACGCTTTTAAAACATTAAGTATTTCAATACATGAAGCCTAAGCTTGCGCTACATGATTGTTTAGTAATGGGAATAATGATAGGACAATAGGAATGACATAATTAAAATAATTAAGAGGATTATTGTTATAGATTTAAGGAAGTTATGTTCTTTATTTTTACTCGGGCTTGGCATGGACCTATTGGTTATCGTGCTTGGACTATGAATCGGAGAATTTATGGTTTGCGGATCGTTGCCACAAAAATGCGCTCCGCACTTTTGGGTAGCGAGTGAGCTATAAGAGTGACAGTCAAATTTCACTATTGAGTTAAACAAAAGTAGCACAAGATTTGGTGGTGAGTGCTGCTACTAGCTGTCCTACACCTAGACTATTTATTCAGAAGTAAGGTTGGCTATGTCGTTTGTGTATCTTTGTGTGATAATTGGGAAACAAGTAAACAAACAGTGTACGTTAGCTCATGTTTTATAGGATCTTGATTTCAGATTCTTTTACACTTTTTTCATGTTCTTGATTTTGTTTTCTTTTAAGTTAGTTTTACTTTCTTTTCAACTCAGTTTTTGCAACCTTTAATTTTATTTCAGACTAATTTAATTTTGTATCCATTTGACTTTGGTTGATATACCCTGCTTTTGACAGACCTTTCTGTATCCATTTGACTTTGGTTGATATACCCTGCTTTTGACAGACCTTTCTGTATCCATTTGACTTCGGTTGATATACAATGCTTTTGATTGAGCTTTTTGCATCTTTCTGACTTTGGTTAATACACCCTGTTTTTGACAGACGTTTTTGTATCCATTTGAGTATGGTTGATACGCTATGCTTTTGAGTGAGCTTTTTTGCATCCCATTGACTTTAGTTGATATACCCTGCTTTTTGCATCCCTTTGAGTTTGATATTCTTTCTTGCTTGTTCTTTAGTTCTGTTTTACTTTCCTGTTTTATTCAGATTTCTTATTATACACTTTTAATCCTAGATATTTCTTTAATTTGGGGTTTATTTTTTTTCCTTTGGTTTTATTTAAGAAGTATCGTAAAACATATTTGGAAGAAACTATTCGCAATTAATGCAATGGAACGCTCTTTGAAAGAACTGTAACACTATAACACCTAACATTCACCTATAACAGTTGAAGTGTTTATAAGTATATAGCTGAATAATATCGTTTAGCAAAATAGATCCATCTTATGAAATACAGGAATCCCTCGATTAGTGCGGTTAATGTGTTCTTTAAAAGAGCTGCACTAATCGAAAACGCACTAATC